GTTTTCCTAAAGAAGTTAAATCTGCTTCGTGTTTTGTTTCCTTGCCACGATACTAACAAGTATCGCGATACTGGTATCGTACTGGCCATAGTTAATTAATTTACATGTATTTTACCATTTATGTTGACTGAGAACACATTCACAGCAGTAACCTGAGGGTAGATTCATATACAGCATATGATTACACTTCCTGACCTACACAGGAGGGTCAGTGTCAGTGATTATGACCCTCAGGCGACAGCTCAAAACAGGAACAACCTCCTACACGTTAGTCTGTATAGGACTGACCACATGCTGAGAGGAAAGAGCTCCATCTCAATGAGATCTTGTGTTCGATTGAAAAAAAAACTCTCCTCCTCTGACTGCCATTGACAATGGAAATGCTCAACGAAATACTGAGAGAGCTCTGACTGTGCAAGGGTCAATGCACCACATGTTATTCTGCTCCCCTACCTACCCACCCCTGTAGTACAATACCACACATGATCCATGACCTTTAGATGAGAAGTGTTGTCAAGAACAGGCCATAAGAGGACTGTAGTAGTGCTGCTGTCAAAATGGCCATTCTGTGTCTCTTATTTCTTCACAGACCTCTCTCACTCTCTTTCTCTCCCTCACTGTCTCTCTGATTCTCAGACTCGCCCCATCTCTGTCTCTCTAAACCTTTCCTCTCTTCCTGTTTCACTGTTCGATCCATGCTGTGGAGTGCTAGCCTGACTAGCCTTCCCCTGTGAGTCTTATGAAAGTCAGAACGTGTGTGTGGGCGAGTGTTCCGATACGCACCACTGCACACACTCAGCCACCATCGCCCATTCAGCCATGGACTAGAGGGCCTGAATGAACACACACACATGCACACAGTTCACTCTCCTCACGTCCCCCTACACCGGCCTTCACATCTGCACACCTGTCAATCTCTCTCTCTCTCTCTCTCTCTCTCTCTCTCTCTCTCTCTCTCTCTCTCTCTCTCTCTCTCTCTCTCTCTCTCTCTCTCTCTCTCTCTCTCTCCTCTCTCTCCTCTCTCTCTCTCTCTCTCTCTCTCTCTCTCTTCTATATGAATAAACAAGGGAATGCAGGAGTGAGAGGTTCTTCCACTCCGTCTCTGCATTCACACTGTAGAGAGAGCATGCAGTGTCACTCACCCTCCTTTGATGTAGTCGAGGAAGGTGACTTCTATATCCACCAGGAATGAGAGCAGTGTTACCTGGAGACAATATGGATACAAGGATGGCAGGATGGAATGGGCTTTACAATAAAGACAATGACTAAACCAAGCTCACATCAATGTGTTAGTTCTCTGTTCTAGAGGCGAAAAACATAAACAAGACAAAGAGACCGGATGGACAGCGTCCGCTGTGGCTTACCGTTCCAGAGTTTAGGTATTTTTTCTTTTTTCCTTTCTTCTTCGGATTTACCACCTGTGGACAAAACAGCAGCCTCATTACACAATTCAAACATACACATTATAACACAGTAATACACAAAGGTTAGTGGTCATGGAATTAATCTCACAGGCCAGGAATGCTCCCTCTATCTCACTCACTCACGCCATGCTGCAATCCTTGACTGGAAAGTGCAGCATACAGTGTTTTAATCTGAGCTGTAAGGTGTTAAATTAAATCGTGTGGAGGTCAGCAGGCCGTACAAACCCTCGGGGAGAAAACATCCGATAAGTCCTAAATGGCAATCTATTCCCTTAATAGTGCACTACTTTTGACCTGGGCCCATAGGGTGCACTATAGTGCACTATAAGGGAAGAGGGTGCTATTTGGGACGCAGGCCAATTTACACTGGATTTATAACCCACTGCATCCTTGGTGGAGATTGGAGGGAATAAGTAAGGAAGGGCACATTTGCCTTTGAAGGTGAGGCTAGCTGTTTTATTGCATCTGGCTTGTAAAATACAATTTATATTAACCTGCCCATGGTTGTGCATGCACACCTTAAAAAAATGCACACACACACACACACACACACACACACACACAGTGACAGCTGGTTTCCCTTGTGTTGTGTTCAGTAACTGCTCTGGCAAGAGTAGATGTCACATCAAGTCAACAGATAGACAGAGAGGACCAGGGAGACAGGAGCTGCTCACAAGAGGCGTGTGTGTGTTTCACAAGTAAAGGAGAAGATGGTGATCATCGGGCACGATGGACAACCATAGGCAGTGTTTGTGTGTGTGTGTGTGTGTGTGTGTGTGTGTGTGTGTGTGTGTGTGTGTGTGTGTGAAGGGGCAATGTGTATAACAGAGATCGGGGCCCATGCTGGACATTGGGTGATGACTGTTAACAGATGGACAGATGGTTACGGGAAGAAGGAACACACACACACACACACACACACACACACACAAACACACAGACAGTCAGCAGTGATGTGGAACCACCTCTCCTAAATTGTAACATTTACAGTGGTGGAAAAAAACGAACCAGAGAATATGGGTGGAAGCCAAGAGCTGTGACTTGGGAAATGATGATAGATTCTCATGCATCTTGGATGACAGCACACAATCACTGTATGCGTGTGTCTTCCTTCTCTCATTAGACAAACACCAGCTGCTTAAAATAAGGGTCCCCCTGTGTGCTTCCCACTCAGAATATTGTTTGTTAATGAACAACTGTTCAGTCCTATCTTAGGAGACGGAGTGTGGAGGCTGGCCATCCATCAAAACTCCCTCACTTTACATCAAACTCTGTGAATGAAATTTCAGGAGAAATGCCATGAAGAATCGCTCCAGAGGAGATTTACTAAATGTGCTTCTGTGTGGGTGAGTGACGTTAAGAGTATACAGATACATACAGCGCATTCGGAAAATATTCAGACCCCTTCCCTTTTTCCACATTTTGTTACGTTACAGCCTTATTCTAAAAGGTATGTCGTGGAAATTCTTACACAGGGACACCCGAAGTCAATCTTAAATGAATAATTGTTTATTATCAGCGCGCTGGAGAGGTTCCAACCAACTCAATGCACCATGTACACATGTCGATCAGGAGCTCTCACGGGGCAGTCCCGTTAGTTCTCTTATATACTGCAGACAAGTCATATTTGCATGATTTCTCTTATTCATAATTAATTCATCATAATTCATTCATGTGACCGACCAATACTGGGTCATGCATGTGACAGACCAATACCTCACGAGGCTTCTTCTCTAAGCTGAGACCTTGAAACTGAGATAAATTTCGTTCTCAAAACAAGGGTCTGGGTGTACTGCCAAATTGCAGATACTGATAGTTAGGATTCTCTCAGTCAGTCACTTGCATGAACACATGAATTATTAGAAAAGCACATGAATAGAACACAGACATTGGTTATTAGAAAAGCACAAAAACTAAAAATGTCATCACAGGTATTAAATAAATAAAACATCCTCATCAATCTACAAACAATACCCCATAATGACAAAGTGAAAACAGGTTTTTAGAATTTTTTGCAAATGTATTACAAATAAAAAACAGAAATACCTTATTTACATAAGTATTCAGACCCTTTGCTATGAGACTCAAAATTGAGCTCAGGTGCATCCTGTTTCCATTGATCATCCTTGAGATGTTTCTACAACTTGATTGGAGTCCACCTGTGGTAAATTCAATTGATTGGGCATGATTTGGAAAGGCACACACCTGTCTATATAAGGTCCCACAGTTGACAGTGCATGTCAGAGCAAAAACTAAGCCATGAGGTCGAAGGAATTGTCCGTAGAGCTCCGAGACAGGATTGTGTCGAGGCACAGCTCTGGGGAAGGGTACCAAAACATTTCTGCAGCATTGAAGGTCCCCAAGAACACAGTGGCCTCCATCATTCTTAAATGGAAGAAGTTTGGAACCACCAAGACTCTTCCTAGAGCTGGCCGCCTGGACAAACTGAGCAATCCGGGGAGAAGGGCCTTGGTCAGGAAGGTGACCAAGAACCCAATGGTCACTATGACAGAGCTCCAGAGTTCCTCTGTGGAGATGGGAGAACCTTCCAGAAGGACAACCATCTCTGCAGCACTCCACCAATCAGGCCTTTAGTGGCCAGACGAAAGCCACTCCTCAGTAAAAGGCACATGACAGCCATCTTGGAGTTTGCCAAAAGGCACCTAAAGGACTCTGACCATGAGAAACAAGATTATCTGGTCTGATGAAACCAAGATTAAACTGTTTGGCCTGAATGCCAAGTATCACGTCTGGAGGAAACCTGCCACCATCCCTATGGTGAAGCATGGTGGTGGCAGCATCATCATGCCGTGGGGATGTTTTTCAGCGGCAGGGACTAGGAGACTAGTCAGGATCGAGGGAAAGATGAACGGAGCAAAGTACAGAGAGATCCTTGATGAAAACCTGCACCAGAGCGCTCAGGACATCAGACTGAGGCGAAGGTTCACCTTCCAACAGGACAACGACCCTAAGCACACAGCCAAGAAAACGCAGGAGTGGCTTCGGGACAAGACTCTGAATGTCCTTGAGTGGCCACAGAGTCCGGACTTGAACCGATCGAACATCTCTGAAGAAACCTAAAAATAGCTGTGCAGTGACGCTCCCCATCCAACCTGACAGAGCTTGAGAGGACTTGCAGAGAAGAATGGGAGAAACTCCCCAAATACAGGTGTGCCAAGATTGTAGCGTCATACCCAAGAAGACTTGAGGCTGTAATCACTGCCAAAGGTGCTTCAACAAAGTACTGAGTAAAGGGTCTGAATACTTATGTTAATGTAATATTTCAGTTTTTTTTTTAAATACATTAGCAAAAATTTATATAAACCTGTTTTTGCTTTGTCATTATGGGGTATTGTGTGTAGATTGATGAGGAAAATAAACAATTTCATCAATTTTAGAATAAGGCTGTAACGTAAGAAAATGTGGGAAAAGTCTAGGGGTTTGAATACTTTCCGAATGAACTTTAATATCCCATTTCACCAAGCACACATACATACGTAAACATGACGCATGCACACATGTAGACACACACAACCACACACACACACAGACAGACACAGACACACACACACTTACCTCATACACATTGAACTGGGACTGGCCTCTGGACAGCTCTCTGTAGCTGGTACTGAACTCTCCTATGAAGTCATGACTAAAGACACAACACACAAAGCACAACTGTTAGTGTGCTATCGATGTGCCTATGAAGAAGTGTATTGCAAAGTATTATAATAGTCTAGTGGATGGAATGAGATCAGTTGAGATAAGTTATTATTCATGAAATGTTAAAGCAATAAAGAGTGAGATAGATATCGACATTTAACAATTCTTTGAGTAGAGATTTCACTTGTGTTTTTCATGCAGCCACTTGAGGGTACAGTAGCATACAGTGCCGTGAAAAAGTATTTGCCCCCTTTCTGATTTTCTCTATTTTTGATACTGAATGTTATCAGATCTTCAACGAGAACCTAATATTAGATAAAGGGAACCTGAGTTTACAATTAACAAAGTTGTGCAACACTCAATTCACCTGTGTGAAAAAGTAATTACCCCCTTACACTCAATAACTGGTTGTGCCACCTTTAGCTGCAATGATTGCAACCAAATGCTTCCTGTAGTTGTTGATCAGTCTCTCACATCGCTGTGGAAGAATTTTGGCCAACTCTTGCATGCAGAACTGCTTTAACTCAACGACATTTGTGGGTTTTCAAGCATGAACTGCTCGTTTCAAGTGTTGTCACAACGTCTCAATTGGGATTAGGTTTGGACTTTGACTAGGCTTAAAATGGGTTGCTTTTTAGCCATTTTCATGTAGACGTGTTTTGGATCATTGTCTTGCTACATGACCAAGCTGCGCTTCAGCTTCAGCTCACAGATGGATGGTCTGACATTCTCTTGTAGAATTCTCTGATACAGAGCAGAATTCATGGTTCCTTCAATTAAGGCAAGTCGTCTAGGTCCTGAGGCAGCAAAGCCTCCCAAACCATCACACTACAACCACCATGCTTGACCGTTGGTATGAGGTTCTTACTGTGAAATGCAGTGTTTGGTTTTCGCCAGGCATAATGTGAACCATGTCGATCAAAAAGTTTACTCAAGTTTGCCAAAAAGCCCCTGGAAGCACCTGGATGATCATCAAGACTCTTGGAAGAATGTTCTATGGATAGACGATTCAAAAGAATAACTTTTTGATGACAAACTTCCTCCACAATGACTGATCAACAACTACAGGAAGCGTTTGGTGGAGTCCTAGCAGCTAAAGGTGGCACAACCAGTTATTGAGTGTAAGGGGGCAATTACTGTTTCACACAGGGAGTGTTGCATAACTTTTTTTATTAAATAAATGAAATAAGTATGTAATTGTTGTGTTATTTGTTCGCTCAGGTTCCCTTTATCTAATATTAGATTTTGGTTGAAGATCCATTCAATGCACTTCCTTAAAATAAATTGAAATCGGAAACAAAGCGTAACCCCTCTACCTGCAAGCAAAGAGAGGTCTGGTAATACCTGGGATAGGATAAAGTAATCCTTCTACCCCCCCTTACCCCACCCCCCCCCCCAAAAAAATATTGTAAAGTGGTTGTCCCACTGGCTATCATAAGGTGAATGCACCAATTTGTAAGTCGCTCTGGATAAGAGCGTCTGCTAAATTTCGAAAATGTAAATGTAAATGGTAACACGTGACATAATGCTGACAGGTATAAAGAGGAGACGAGACAGACGGAGTGAGTGCATACTGTAAGGTAATAACCTTGCCCACTAAACCCATAATATGAAATGATGACACTCATATCAAGTTGGTGTTTCTTCTACTGCTGCCCCGCCCTTGGCCCCGCCTCTATGTTTATGGACCAATCCAATTCCCCCACTTCAACAACATGTCAATGTGTGTTGAATGAATCAGCATCCAATCCAGCTTCCTTACCTTCTAGAAATATAGATTAGCATGAGTTAAAGTAGCCTAATTTAGATAACACAGTGATTACATCATGCTAATGAAGGTGCTTTTCAATTAAGACTCAAATTAAATTACCTTCCATCTCTGTCCCAGTCGTAGCATTCTATCTTGATCGTTCTAGTAGGGTGAAAAATAACAATATATTAGAAACAGATTTATTTAGCTTTAACAGGACAATTATCAGCAGAAACTATGATCATGGCATTGTACATTCCCCCCAAACAAGTTTCAAGTTCAAATGTATTGTATTCTGAAGAAGGATAGTTTATAGTAATCTACAGTGGGGGAAAAAAGTATTTAGTCAGCCACCAATTGTGCAAGTTCTCCCACTTAAAAAGATGAGAGAGGCCTGTAATTTTCATCATAGGTACACGTCAACTATGACAGACAATATGAGAAAGAAAAATCCAGAAAATCACATTGTAGGATTTTTTATGAATTTATTTGCAGATTATGGTGGAAAATAAGTATTTGGTCAATAACAAAAGTTTCTCAATACTTTGTTATATACCCTTTGTTGGCAATGACACAGGTCAAACGTTTTCTGTAAGTCTTCACAAGGTTTTCACACACGGTTGCTGGTATTTTGGCCCATTCCTCCATGCAGATCTCCTCTAGAGCAGTGATGTTTTGGGGCTGTCGCTGGGCAACACGGACTTTCAACTCCCTCCAAAGATTTTCTATGGGGTTGAAATCTGGAGACTGGCTAGGCCACTCTAGGACCTTGAAATGCTTCTTACGAAGCCACTCCTTCGTTGCCCGGGCGGTGTGTTTGGGATCATTGTCATGCTGAAAGACCCAGCCACGTTTCATCTTCAATGCCCTTGCTGATGGAAGGAGGTTTTCACTCAAAATCTCACGATACATGGCCCCATTCATTCTTTCCTTTACACGGATCAGTCGTCCTGGTCCCTTTGCAGAAAAACAGCCCCAAAGCATGATGTTTCCACCCCCATGCTTCACAGTAGGTATGGTGTTCTTTGGATGCAACTCAGCATTCTTTGTCCTCCAAACACGACGAGTTGAGTTTTTACCAAAAAGTTCTATTTTGGTTTCATCTGACCATATGACATTCTCCCAATCCTCTTCTGGATCCAAATGCACTCTAGCAAACTTCAGACGGGCCTGGACATGTACTGGCTTAGGCAGGGGGACACGTCTGGCACTGCAGGATTTGAGTCCCTGGCGGCGTAGTGTGTTACTGATGGTAGGCTTTGTTACTTTGGTCCCAGCTCTCTGCAGGTCATTCACTAGGTCCCCCCGTGTGGTTCTGGGATTTTTGCTCACCGTTCATGTGATCATTTTGACCCCACAGGGTGAGATCTTGCGTGGAGCCCCAGATCGAGGGAGATTATCAGTGGTCTTGTATGTCTTCCATTTCCTAATAATTGCTCCCACAGTTGATTTCTTCAAACCAAGCTGCTTACCTATTGCAGATTCAGTCTTCCCAGCCTGGTGCAGGTCTACAATTTTGTTTCTGGTGTCCTTTGACAGCTCTTTGGTCTTGGCCATAGTGGAGTTTGGAGTGTGACTGTTTGAGGTTGTGGACAGGTGTCTTTTATACTGATAACAAGTTCAAACAGGTGCCATTAATACAGGTAACGAGTGGAGGACAGAGGAGCCTCTTAAAGAAGAAGTTACAGGTCTGTGAGAGCCAGAAATCTTGCTTGTTTGTAGGTGACCAAATACTTATTTTCCACCATAATTTGCAAATAAATTCATAAAAAATCCTACAATGTGATTTCCTGGATTTTTTTTCCTCAATTTGTCTGTCATAGTTGACGTGTACCTATGATGAAAATTACAGGCCTCTCTCATCTTTTTAAGTGGGAGAACTTGCACAATTGGTGGCTGACTAAATACTTTTTTCCCCCACTGTATATCATGTCTATATTGGTTTCCAAAATAGCGAATGTTAGAGAGAGAAAAGCAGTGCTCTTCCACCATCACCCATCCCCTCAAACTGAAGAATCGTTTTTCCACTGACAAGTGGCCATTTTCCTTCACCAGAGCCAAGAGATAAGTAGCTGACTGTGGCTGTGCATATTTCACCCAGCACCAATTTCACCTGCCTCAATTTCACCTCTCTTTTCAGACGAGAAAAAAATAAAGAAGAAAATAATTAACAGATGCTTAGATGAAAAGGTAATCATAAGTTATAGATTACCACCGGGTGAGAAATCACAGGTTAATGAGTTTCCTGTAGGGGTTCGTAAGGGGTATGATGATAAGAGGAGGCACACTCCGGCATTGTCAGAGCACAAAGACAGACACAGACACACAGAAACACACACACACACACACACAAGTATGCACACATACACGCACACACACAAACACACTGCTCAGCCTCCTACTAAATGGAGTGAAGGATGAGCCCATCACCATCCATCTAAGCTGACTAGATAAAAGGCTGGGGAGATAAAGCCATCCAGCCCTACAGTAATCTACCAGAAACCCCAGGGGGACACACAGCTCTCCATTGTTAGCGTTCTCCCGTGGCTCTCGTCCTGCCTCTCCCTTATCTCTCATCCCAGACCCCCAGAGATTCACACTCTGGCTGTGTGTGTGTGCGTAAATCAATGTATTTATGTGTGTGTGTGCAAGCGTTCATTCGTGTGCTTCCTTGGCTCCCCACACTCTCCACACACTGATAACAATAAGCTCTCTCTAACTAACCTCCTAACAACTCAGACAGAGCCAGGGCCCAGCTCTGCTCCAATCAATGCAGCCTGACAAGCTCAGACCATCCATCTGGGGCTTTGTGCCTTATCACTGGCAAACAAGCCCACTGACAACTGGAGATGACTATAAACACAATCCCTGAGATGGGATTGCAGAGTGACACACACACATTGTCCTATACAGTGGGGGAAAAAAGTATTTAGTCAGCCACCAATTGTGCAAGTTCTCCCACTTAAAAAGATGAGAGAGGCCTGTAATTTTAATCATAGGTACACGTCAACTATGACAGACAAAATGAGAGAAAAAAAATCCAGAAAATCACATTGTAGGATTTTTAATGAATTTATTTGCAAATTATGGTGGAAAATAAGTATTTGGTCAATAACAAAAGTTTCTCAATACTTTGTTATATACCCTTTGTTGGCAATGACACAGGTCAAACGTTTTCTGTAAGTCTTCACAAGGTTTTCACACACTGTTGCTGGTATTTTGGCCCATTCCTCCATGCAGATCTCCTCTAGAGCAGTGATGTTTTGGGGCTGTTGCTGGGCAACACAGACTTTCAACTCTCTCCAAAGATTTTCTATGGGGTTGAGATCTGGAGACTGGCTAGGCCACTCCAGGACCTTGAAATGCTTCTTACAAAGCCACTCCTTCGTTGCCCGGGCGGTGTGTTTGGGATCATTGTCATGCTGAAAGACCCAGCCACGTTTCATCTTCAATGCCCTTGCTGATGGAAGGAGGTTTTCACTCAAAATCTCACGATACATGGCCCCATTCATTCTTTCCTTTACACGGATCAGTCGTCCTGGTCCCTTTGCAGAAAAACAGCCCCAAAGCATGATGTTTCCACCCCCATGCTTCACAGTAGGTATGGTGTTCTTTGGATGCAACTCAGCATTCTTTGTCCTCCAAACACGACGAGTTGAGTTTTTACCAAAAAGTTATATTTTGGTTTCATCTGACCATATGACATTCTCCCAATCCTCTTCTGGATCATCCAAATGCACTCTAGCAAACTTCAGACGGGCCTGGACATGTACTGGCTTAAGCAGGGGGACACGACTGGCACTGCAGGATTTGAGTCCCTGGCGGCGTAGTGTGTTACTGATGGTAGGCTTTGTTACTTTGGTCCCAGCTCTCTGCAGGTCATTCACTAGGTCCCCCCGTGTGGTTCTGGGATTTTTGCTCACCGTTCTTGTGATCATTTTGACCCCACGGGGTGAGATCTTGCGTGGAGCCCCAGATCGAGGGAGATTATCTGTGGTCTTGTATGTCTTCCATTTCCTAATAATTGCTCCCACAGTTGATTTCTTCAAGCCAAGCTGCTTACCTATTGCAGATTCAGTCTTCCCAGCCTGGTGCAGATCTACAATTTTGTTTCTGGTGTCCTTTGACAGCTCTTTGGTCTTGGCCATAGTGGAGTTTGGAGTGTGACTGTTTGAGGTTGTGGACAGGTGTCTTTTATACTGATAACAAGTTTAAACAGGTGCCATTAATACAGGTAACGAGTGGAGGACAGAGGAGCCTCTTAAAGAAGAAGTTACAGGTCTGTGAGAGTCAGAAATCTTGCTTGTTTGTAGGTGACCAAATACTTATTTTCTACCATAATTTGCAAATAAATTCATAAAAAATCCTACAATGTGATTTTCTGGAAAAAAATTCTCAATTTGTTTATCATAGTTGACGTGTACCTATGATGAAAATTACAGGCCTCTCTCATCTTTTTAAGTGGGAGAAAATGCACAATTGGTGGCTGACTAAATACTTTTTTTCCCCACTGTATATTACACACACACACACACAAACACACACACACACACACACACCACGCACACACACGCACATGCACGTGCACATACACGCACTCACACACACGCACAAACCCTGGGGATTTCAAACTTGGTGGTGAAAAACTATTGCAGCGCTTCCTACACCCTGGATTTAAGGGCCAATGCATTTGAGTGATGGCATGACACCTGTCTGTCAGTCAGGCATGTGAAAGACTACTCCACTGAGGGAGAAAGATGATTGCAGAAAGGAAGGCTATTCATAAGCAGACCAAGCATTAATTTCTCCTTTAGAGTTCATTATAATAGCTTCCATATGCATTTAGTATGCATGCATGGTGATTCTTATTAAATGGAGACAATCTAAAAACTATTTTCTCCTCTTCCAGATTAGATCCTGTCACCAAATCATTTTTGCAAAGCACTCAAATTGTTTAAAAAAAGTATGGCCCTCACACACTTCAACAAAACAGTTAATGCCAGTTTAATCTTGCTGGCCATACTACACACACACACAGACACACACAGACCTGTCGTAGTCTCCATTGCAGAGTGCTCTGACAGGTATCTTGAAGGCCTGCCACACTGGGTTTAGTGTGTTCTTCACCACCTCTGTTTTATGGCAGATTGTGAACCTGGTGAAACACGGCGACAAGACAAGTCATACACTGATCAATGGATCAATCAATCACTGGACAATATTCCTTTTCCTCTTTATCCCCTCTCTTCTTTCCACCTCTTCCTCTCTTTCTCTCCCTCGCTCTCATTCCCTCAGAGTGTCTGTGCAAAGTTATAGTTAGCGAGACAGACTATCTTCCTTTGCTTTTCTCAAGATTCTTCTCAAGCGTAAACTTTTCTCTTTGATTCTCAGCTCCCTCAGATCTTTCTTCCCCCCAAGAAGATAAATCACACTCATTGAGATACACATCTCTAAGACATTGATTCCTCTTTTCCGTACTTTGCCAAAATATCGAGCAATAAAAAATGTTTCAAATGTCATCATGATGACCGGCACAAAAAATATGTGTTTCAGTTCGACTACCATTTACTATCAACTGAGGAATACTCAGTATAATCATAATTCACTGCAAAAGTAAATGGTTTTAATGTGAATATAGTGCAGTGTGGAATAGTAAGAGAGAGAGAGGTTTGACCCCTGTACAGAGAAGCCAGGGAGGCAATAGGGAGCTTTCCCTCCAACCACTGCTCCCGCTAGGTCATCTCCTCTCTGCTCTGCCGGCTGTAAGATAGGTGTGTGTGTGTAATAAAGCCTCGCCTCAGAGGAGTAGACCTGCTTATCTGACCTCCCAGATATGTGTTGATGCGAGAGAAGAACCTGTAGGCTGTAACACACACACACACACACACACACGCAAACCCACAGAGAGAGGCTTGGTTGTTTACCTAAAGGAATTCAATGGAAACTCATTTCCCTCAGACTGAGAGACTGATGGATGGAATTGAATGGAGGAGAGGATCTGAAGAAGAGGTAGGTAAAGTATACTCACGTTCCATCTTCATTGCTGCGGTAGAAGACGAGGAAAGGGTCTGACTTGCCGAAGAAATCTTTCTTGTCCAGTTTATTCCCACAGAACTGCATCATCACTGACTCCTACAGTAACAGAGAGAGACATTGAGACTGATGAAATTGACAGCACAGCTCACAGCTCAGTATTCACAGCAGATACTGGTGAGAGACATCTGATAGTAGATGCAGACATTAATGCTGATCAGTCAACAGTAACATTACAGGACACAGCTCAGGGCAACTCCACTCAGCATCAAGGTGAGAGATATATCCTATGATAGTAGATCCATAACAATATAATTTAATGTATATGCCATGGCAAAGTGTTTATTGATTGATGTTGTACTTATGTGGGTATGATGTATTGTTTGGGGAGTTAACAAGGGCAGACAGCTTTTTTGGGATGGGATGCAGCCCAAGACTCCCTTTCCCTCCATATCCCCTGTCATCAATACTCACCCTGCAGTTTCCCATCTCTTCTACCTTAACAATGATGTTTCCACACTTCTTTCCAGGAATGCCCCTGTTGAAGACAAAACAGAGACACCATTCATTTATATACTAATGGACTATATGGTCAGTATGGTCTAACGGAAACACAGTAACGGTGATGTCTGTGAAGGTTTCTCTTTCATAACAAGCCTCTCTCATCATGCCATGGAAAACTTGAGAACTTGAGGGAGTATCCCAAAACACCTCTAAAGCCAGAGAATACAAGTTGAGCTTTGAGAGGGGGAGAGAGGGAAAGTGAGAGAGAGAGAAGTGTGTGTGTGTGTTTGTGTGTGTGTGTGCACATTCCCTTACGCCTTTCCTGACCCAACAGTCAGCAGAAAGCGAGAAACCGTTTATCCAGGATTCCATCCAACACACTACACCAACACACCCAACTTACACAGGCCCCTTTGACAACACATCCACCCTCCCTCCAAGAAACGATGTCCAAGTCACGTCAAAGGAAAAAATTAACTTTAAATGGAACCACTGAGGCATGGTAAGAAACCACAGTGACATTAGTTGTCTTAACTTCTGAGAAAGAGTCATCTTCAAAATACTGATGACTAACACTGACATAGCACTAGCCAGGCCCACCTTGCAGAAATGGACTCAGGCAGTCATTTAGGCAGCCTGAAATTGGGGTCGAGGACCCCGTACCTAAGAGTAATACAAGTCCCCTTTACTTAACCAGCAGGACTGAAGGAGAGAGCTGATAGACCTATCAAAAGGACATGGATCCGGATGGGTTTTTTGTATCAGTGCTTTACATTGGGATGAACAGTTACCTCTTTTTAACCCAGAAACCAATAGCCTACCTCTTTTGAAGGATGGGAGTAAAATTGCAAAAGAAGAAAATGAAAAGGTTTCTATCTATTTCTCTCTCTCACTGACAATTCACCTAGGTCATTTGTACTGTCCAGTGTTCCCTTCCCTTTCTTCCACCATGAAATCTACCCACACTTTAGGATTATGTTCCATATTGCCAGTGTTGCAAATCAACAGTTGATTAAGCCCTAAACCCTTTGTCTAGCCAGTAGCGATGCTAATGTTAAACTGTCTTGTGGGTAAATAGAAAGGTTTTCCCCAAAACCTTCTCAACCTTGTAAATGTTAACTGCAAAGTAGGCCTACCTAGCAGGATTATGTCATGCTTTGTATTAATCGGGTGGGCATTTGTTTTGCAAACTCTGCTACAGAAACATCGCTAGCAAAACACGTTCCTCTCTAGCTAGGTGTGCACTTGAATTTCACTCAAAAGGCAAAATATGTTCAATATTTCTGAGATGTCAAATTGTTTCTTTGGATTTGATTTGTGCATTGACATGGACTCAGAACATCCCATTTTGTTGTTTCTCTATAAAAATAGTAATTTTGAGAGTGAAAAACTGTACTTCACACTTGAGAGTATTTTCGCACTGATCCTAGACCAGCACCCCTAGGCCTACTCTGATACGCTTTATGAATACAGGCGCAGCCACTCTTACAGAAAAGCTTGACTGTGAATGTTCTGTTCTAATTTCAGAATGTCAACAAAAAGGAGAATTTAAAACTGTAGCAGTCGATTCCACAGCATACAGTGAAAGCCCCGATAGGAAATCCTGCTGTAGATGCGTTAATAACAGGATTACACACACAAATAGGATTCAGACAGGGTTTCACAAGTATTCCACAAGTCCTCTCATCCAGTAATAGACACCTATGGATTTGGATTGTCACTTACAAATTCCCAGTCAGTCACTCTCTCTCACTCTCTCTCTCTTTCCCGTTGTGTGTGTGTGTGTGTGTGTGTGTGTGTGTACGTGAGCATTTGCATGCATATGTGTGTGTGTGTAGTACCTCAAAGAGGCTAGCTCTAAAAGTGTGTGCCGCTGAATGCAGCAGAACAGCGGTGCACTGTAACCTTCAGGCACAGCCACTCACTCTAAATAGAATAGAGTCATTTCAGACCGAACCTGCATCCCAAATGGCACACTACTTTTGACCAGGGCCCATATGGGTCTGGACAAAAGTAGAGCACAATTTAGGGAATAGGGTGCCATTTGGGACACACGACAAGATGATTGCTGCCTGACTAACCAGATCAGCACAATTCAGATCTGCTGCCATATTACGACCCCCATGAACGACACTTAACGTCAGCTTAACTGCCTCCTCCCTATGCTTATAACAATAGGAGTGATTGAATGAAAGATCCCTTTATTCTCTTCTGTCTCCCCCTGTCTTTCTTGCCTTGGTGCCAACACACGCATGCGCACGCAAGCAAGCAGACCAGAGCTGCACCAGAAGACACACGCTGTATCTTTGTGCGGGTGAATGTGTACTGATGAGGGGCCACACAGTAGGCTAAACAAAGCAGCTCCGTCCCATCCCATCACATCCAATTCAGTGGGTCAGTCAGACTATATATCATACAAGTAAACAAGACCAGGGCCATCTGAGGACTCACACACATCCCCTATCCCTCCTGGGTTGGTTGGCAAGGCCTACAGTACCAACAGACCTTTGTGGGAGGCAGGGATAGGGGATAGGGCCAATTCTATTTAATAATGTGGGGATGAAGGGCGGGAGGCATAGAGTTAGTGCAGGTAAAGCAAGAATGCAGTCCACAAAAGACAGGTTCCATGAAATGGGTTATCCGCCTACTCAGTGATACCCACAGAACCAAACTATGAAGAGTGTACACAAATATTAGCGTCGTAGCTCTTATTGTGAGACTTTAACTGTGGGAAATCACCACATTCATATTGCAATATACAGCCTTAACTATGGATCTTATGTCCATGAAATGGGTTATCAGCCTACTCAGTGATACCCACAGAACTCAACTGTGACATGTCAAAATGCTGATTTATTTCATTCTCCATGTGGTCTATATTAAAAGGTCACTTTATTTAATATAACAGGCTTTTCAAATTCAATATTGGTGATTTCCCACAGTTAAAGTCCCACAATAAGAGCAACGACGTTAATATTTGTGTACATCTCTTCACAGTTGTGTTCTGTGGGTGTCACTGAGTAGGCTGATATCCCATTTCATGGACCCAAGACCAATGTTCCCTCTAATTTTCTTCATCACAAATGTCAGGTCTGCTGAGAGCGAACTTGAACGTTGTGAAAATTCTGTGCAGCCTACGGTGCGTGTTTACTGTGAACACTGATGCTGATGCTGTGTGGCTATTTGATCATAATGTAGGCCTACCGGAGTGGCCTACCAGAAAAAAACAATGGAGAAAATGCATCCCATAACATTTTAACATGGAAATAGCTGTTCTATCGTTCAGCCTACAGTAGCAGCCAATGTGTGGTGTTCAATGTAGGCCTACATTCCATGAGACTTTTGAAAAAAACATGCAGGGCCTGACATTTCAGGTGACTGAAAATGTTGTGTTGTTTGATGCAAGAAACCACTTTACAAAATAAAATGCATCATTATTCCCATACCATTATCAGACAAATTATGCTACCCTCTGCCTATTGGCTACTTAGCTTTTTCAAGTCTGTCTCAAAATACAACACTGCCCCTTTAAGACAAAAAAAAGCTCTTTACCTGACTCACTTTTCAAAGATGTCTAGAAATGTACACATTTTGTGCTTTTGTAGGAAACAATCACTCCCCCATTGCTGACTACAAATGATATATAACTGGGCTAATAACTCACTAACTAGCAAAGGATATGAACAAATGTACAAATGTGCACAAGTTGCTACATGTAGCTCTCACTTTGATCTCAAAACAAGCACATCTACTCACAACCGCTCATGCTGTAAAAATAGTACAGTTTTTAGTGAATGGCACAGATCCATATATTGCAATGGTCTATTTGCATATTGGCCTACTGCAGCTCTGCCTCCAATAAAATATCTTGCATAGTTTGTTTTGTTTCGGTATGTTGCATTGATTCGTTCACAATTCTCACAGTAAAGGGAAACGTTGATAGTGTTAACTAACGGGGAAAACTCCGTTCAATGTCGTGCTTCTATGTGCGTGCTGATTTTTCTTCTGCATGGCAGTCCCGGGGGAGTTGCGCGCCCGCCCAAGACCCATAGCTAAAGCTGTACATTGCAATATGAATGCCAATATGCTCAAAAGGCTGGATAGTGAGGTGATTTCCCATAGTTAAAGTCCCACAATAAGAGCAACAGCGCTAATATTTGTCAATATACTTGTCAACAAGTCTATTACATCAACAGTGCGATTTATACTTTTTTGGTGTGAAATAAACTACTTATAGTCCAAATATGGCATTGTTCCACTATTTGTATCCGTTTGCATCAGTTTCAATGGGGACTTTTATTTTGAAGGTGAACCGCAAATTCCATTATTGTGGCTAATCCTTATTGTGGCTAGCTTCACACAGGTCACAAAGGTTGGAAAAGGCACTCACTTCGTGGAACGACCCAAGTAATAGAGACCTTCTGTCAGGAAGACAAAAATCTGTATTTATTACACAACAACCGATGGCAGGACAGTCTGGAGGTCAATAACATTAACGAAATATGTGAAAATGAATCATCATAAACGCCTTAAGAAGTAAACCAAGATGGCGTAGCAGTGCGGTCGCTTTTATTCATTCTCCTTGTGTAAATTTCCCGTTTCTTGTTTTTTTGTCTATTTTGTATATATTTTTCAATTTTTACTTTTCATTCTTTAACTAAATATACTTTCCTGCAACCCGCCTCACCCAACGTGGAAAGGATTATATTATTTCTTTATAACTTTCATCAAGAACCGTAAGCTGAAACTAGCTGAAACTAGTGTAGCTGCAACTGAATGGCTACTTGATATTAGTCACTGTTAGCGTCTTCACCACTGTCTGTGGCCTACACTATCCACCAGCCAGCTCTAGCTCTAGCCTGGACAATTCGTCGGCCAGTCTGCACAGCGTGCTATCGACCCAGCGTGCTATCGACCCAGAGCTTATTGGACTTTCTGCCGGAATCACTGGACCCTAGCGCCGGATCATCGCAACCAGCTAGCTAGCTGCAACCTGTTGTTGGCTAATTACCATTGCCCTGTAGCAAGCACCAG